GTAACACCATTTGAACAATACTATGTAAGTTGGTGCTTTTACTAAAATAAGAACCTTCACAATGCAAGTGACACACCTGCTGTGGCCACACCATTACACTGGCTCATGCTGAGCCCACGAGTCCTGTTCCAGACTCTGAACACTGCCTAGGCTTATTTTTTGGCTCCACTCTTAGTTTTATTTTGAATCACTGTGTGAAAAGCACTAAAATCAATCTATAAATCACATGCAAACTCATGCTATATACCTTCCTTCTTCCCTATTAAAAATGAACACAATCCAGTATTGCATTTTACTCACAATCTTCTATCCAAGGCTTCTAACTGGGCTAAATAGCAGACAGACAGCCAGCATGGGATCCAAAGGCCATGGATTCCAATCCCACCTCTAAAGTTAATTAGCTATGTGCACTTGAGCAAATCATGTAATTCTCTGGGTCTCAGTTGTCTCATCTTTAAAGAAAATAAGCTGAAGTACACAATCTGCAAGATCCTTCCTTGCTCTAGAATAGTTCTCTGTTTGAAATAAAACTCTGCCTCCAGTGTTGACATCACCTCCTGGGATCCCTCCCCATCACCTGGGATGAAAGAGATGCAGCTCCACTATGCCCCCTCAGTGCCCTGAGCGTAGCCTTCTCATTGCATGTATCTGGCGCTACGATGATTATTCACCTGACTCTCTCACTAGATTGCAGGCTCCCGGAGAGCAGGCACTTGGCCTTTTATCTCCATTACCCCATAGTCACGTAGTAGGGGAGTGATGGATGTATACTGAATATACACTGAGCCAGCCAATACTTTGTGTGCCACACTTTATCAAAATGTCTCACCAGAAGAGGTACAGAAAATAACAAACAGAACTCCTTGCTCATCCTATTTACACAGTTGATCCGGAGGAAAATATATTCTTGTTATTTTGAAAGTGAAGGAATTGTGTAGAAATAATTAAATGTTGCCAGCAGTGTTAATGTAGCCTTTATTATAGGTATCAAGGAAATGGAATATTCCTGACAGACTGATGGACAAATATGGCCACCAATTTTAAAATACTTCATTCTTTTATACTCATAAAACATAATGTCAGGCTTCAGCATCTTTATGGAAAAAAGTTATAGTGAAATCCCCAAGGCCTGCAGATTTCAGGACCTCAGAGAATACAGATTTCTAATCAATCTTTATAAATAGTACTCTAGTGGTCTTAAACCACCCCCGGGTTGGATGATTTGCCAAGAGGACTCACAGAATTTACCATATAGTCATGGCTTTGACTTACTACAGCAAAAAGATACAAAGTAAACTTAGCAGAGGGAACAGGTACTTGAGCGAAGTCCAAGGAAAGCTAAGCACAAGCCTCCAAAGGTCCCCTCCCTAATTCCTTCAGCAACAAGCTGTGGCAACACCTGTGAACTGCTGCCGGCAGGGATGCTATTTGGAAATCGGTGCCCGGCATTTTTGTTGGAAGCTGGTCACATATGTATCCTCTGCCTGGCATGTACCACAATTCCAGACTCCCACAAGTAAAGTAAATGTCTAGCATAAACCACGCTGTTTGAATAAATAATGTGGGGACAGTGAGCCACTCTTATGAATCATGGGAACCCTCTTGAAATTCAAGTTCTCAGATGCTAGCCAAGGGCCCACTTTATAAGCAGGTCTTTCAAAGTATAGCTGTCATGCCTGCCATGTTAACTCCTTTACACAAAGAGTAAACGTCACTGTATAACAACTAGGCAGAGTGAGCAGAAATGCAAAAAGCTCTTTAAAAGACTAATTAGAATCCTTTAAGATGTAGCTATAACCCGTGCTGGGTGTGCCGCTTGCCTTCTCAGACTCATACATGAGTTGGCTCTTAAGTTAATAAACACCATTTTGGCATTCCAGAAGAAGGCCTCTTAGCTGGGGCAAGCTGTGAGAAATAAACTCCTGCTGTGTAAGCTCCCCAGTCTGTGGTCTTTTGTTGTGGCAGCCCGAGCTGAGACAGCTGCTTTCACACTGCAACTGCATGGGGAGTAGGTGAGACAGAGATCATATGGCCCCTCAAACCCTGACAGATCTACTTACTGGTCTTTGACAGAAGTTTGCCAACCCCTGCTCTAGTTGTTGGATGAAATTACGAGTTTTAGTTCTAGAATGTTATATAGAGAAGCTGAAGGATGTCTAGTGAGAGCTATATTGGCATAACAAAAATCATATTTTTCCTTAATGAGGATGAAGGCAGGCAGCGAAAGCACTGTGACATTCCTCCCCGAGGCAGCCACCGAGAACCTCCCACAAGACAAACTGCTCACCTGGCCATGTATCTGCTCATGTGGCCAGGGACATAATCAATGATGGCTGAAAACCAGGGCTCCAGGTCTGCTCCGCCAGCCTAGTAGGAGCAAGCACGTCCTTAATTATGGTTATGACAGCTAGGAGCTATCAGTAGTACGCTAAAGGCTTATTTTTAATCATACAATTCACAACAAATGTTTGTTGCAAGAACACTCACGGTAATAGCAATGAGAACACAATAATTTTTTATTAATAGCTCATTTGGGAATGAAGTTAAGAGTGAGTGAATGAATTAGAAGCTCTGTAAATTGCAGAGAGTGTGTCCGCGGGATATTGTTGTGGGAAAAAAATGTCAGCTACGTGGACAAGCCAATGTAGCTGAGTATAATCTAAAGAATATGGGTTTTAGAATCAGACAGAGATGGATTCAAATCCAGACCCTGACTCGTCGTTTATTTAGCAACTGGGTGTCCCATCTCAGAACTTATCCTACTCATTAATGAACTAGAGATTATACAGGGGGTTGTTGTTTGTGGGTAATTAATATTTAGTAAGATTAGTAATTATATATAAAATAAGTTGAAGTGGATGGGTATAAAATAGGCTGTCAAAATGGTAACTATTCTCATGACTCACTGGAGTATATTTTCTCACAGTTTCCTCTTTTTTCTGAGAATAAAGTGACACTGACTGACAATACACCTGTCCCTATATTTTTGCCCAAGTCATCAAGATTGCCCCTTGATTTCAGAAAAGCTGAAAACAATTATTTAAACTGACACAGGTTCTAACAGGGAACAGGAAGAAGCCATTTGCGGTAACTCAGACACTGGCATCTGCAGGGACAGGTGCACATTCCCGGGTCCCTTTAAAACACTACATGCATTTTGTCTCTCGCTTCTCTTCCTCTCAGTGGTAGCCATGCTGGTATGTGCACTCAGTTCTAATAACCCGTGTGTGTGCATGTGTGAGTGTGCACACATAGGTGTGAGTGTGCATGCATGTGTGTGCATATTCTCAGATGTATGAAAGAAAAACAAGAGGCAATGGAGCTTTGTGATGAATTCATTCTGAAAACTTATTTTCAACTGGTGAATTCTTAATTATGTCTTTGAGACCTTGCATTGCAAATGTATAAGTTGGTGATTTGATATAAATCCCTCTGGGCCTGAGTTTCCTTGTATGTTTTGAAGAGAAAATAACTGCTCTTTTTTTTCCCCACAGGAATATTATAAACATAAGATGATATTCTGCATAAACAACATGCTTTGAGGGGGATAGTGACAGGTAAGATCTGTACTGAGGACTGTAACAAATAGGGATTTTGGTAATCATACAGTATGTGAAAAGAACTGGCAAAATTTAGATTGGAAAAATATATGAGAGCTTCAAATACCTAATAGACTGGCTTGTGGAAAAGAAATTTGTCATTGGAGAAGGTAGAGCATAAACTAAAGGAAACATAGTTTTGCTTAATATTGAAAGGAACTCAGAATCCCTAATGAGTAAGCAAGAAAGTTCCATATTTAGTCTATATTTGGCAACCCTATTCCACACTTATCATTACCTTAACTTTCAATCACTTGTACAAATACATGTTTTACATATTGTGTTTCACATAATGTTCACACTTGACTATAGCTCCTTGACGTAAGGACTCTGTATTTAATCTGTATGCTCTCAAGAGTTCTTCACATTTTGTATTGCAGGCTGTGGATGCTCAATAACTATTGGTTACCAAAAATATAGACTGAAAATGCTGTTCAGATACAGAACAAATATTGTGACACAGATTGGAAGAATATGATTTCTTCAGTCTTAGCCTCTTTTAGAACCCTAAGTAGGGAATTACATTGATTTACTTATGTTCATTTCTCTGTGCCTACAGCAGAAATGTTAATTTGTCTCTTGGCTTGACTTTTTTCTTCCATGTTAACTATATGGTGGGCTCTGTTTCATGGGGTTAGTGGAAGGGAAGGCTTGTTATTTCAAAATACTTCATGATAGGAGACAGGCAATCATTTTACATGAAATTCCCTCTATGCAGTTATCCAAATGTGTATTTCATTCTCGGCAATAAAACAGCCTTAGCCAATGTCCAATGACCTATAAACCAGAGCTATGAGATTTCTTTATGCAAATTAAATCTGTATTACATCATGATAAAAAAAGAAAATGGCAATGAAGATTATATTTGCAGCAGAGGGCAAAGTAAAGAATTCCTATATGTATTTGTAGGATATGTCAGTGTGGCTAATTGTTTTTTGAGACAGTGTGCTTGGAAAGAGTTATTGGGGAATAAGCTTTGTGAATTGATTACTAAATGAGAAGGAAGTTTTAAAGTGAATCAGGAAAATAAAATAGGTAAACCGTTTGATTAACCTTACCAGCTTAAAGAAATCCACATAACAAAGAGACACGAATATTGATGTTGTGGCAGTATTATAAACCCCAAGAACTAATTATAATATAGTATAGCTTGCTTGTTTTTCCTCAAGCCTGTTTTTCATTTTCCATCTTAAACTGTAATGATTCAAATCTTTATCCATGTACTCAGGAGCTTTTCCTCCCTTAAAAGGCTAACTACAGCACACAGATAAATAAAGGGAAAAATTGTGTCACTTCACATTACTGCAAAATGAAATAACTTTCCTAATCCTCCACTAATAATAGAGCATGACATATTAAGCCTCTGGATATTATAAGGGGAAGTGGATCCAGACAACATACCCGTTTCCTTAGATTGCAAGTAAGGGTGAGATTCCTTGAGAATGAGTTTGCAAAAGCCGTATAAAAGTCCAGGACTTTGAGCAAGGCTTCTCGCTTGATGATGTGGAGATCACAGTAAGTCAGTGCTCGGACATTGGCACATGCATGAGCAAGGCTGGTTTCCTTCCAGAAGATGTCTCCAAATACATCGCCTTTTCCTGGAAAACAGCATAAGATATGTATTCAAGTGTCCACACTGATTTCTATCCTATTTTTACTCAGTTTCATACATGGTATTGATCTCCTAGCATAATTTTGAGCTTGAATATATATCCCCAGTTAACAATATACAACATATAACAATTTACAACACTTTTATATGATACATAAAACAATACCACCTTGAATTCACTTCTTGATGGAAATCTGGAGTGATATGAATAAATGAAATCAGATGGAAAAGCCAAAAACCTCATTTTAACAAATAGTTTCATTATTTTCTGCCACTTTAACTTTTCCCATTGTGACCAGAAGAAGCAAAGGAGACTTCTGAGTTTCAACCCCTCTTCTGCTCATTCTGGTAGAGATGACAGTAAAATGTAATATACAAGATCTACTGTTACAGCCTTTATAAATCTGGAACTGATTCAACATATTTTAAACATATTATTCAGCAACTAAGGCTTGTGCTCCAGGCAGACTAAAAGCCACCATGACTTATTCCCCAAAGACGCTCTTCCCTCACCGCCAAGCCAAACCTTACGCAAGTCCTCAGGGAGCTCCCCAGCCACAGTCACGGAGGCTAAGGAGCTGAGCTGGGTAAAACACGGAGACCCAGGTTTGTTATGCCTAAACAGTTCCACAAAGACTACATCTACTGTGGTTAAATGTAGATATCTTCCTAAAATTCTAGCGACCACATAGAAATCTATTCGCTGCACAGAGACATTCCAGTTGGCGACCTCATCTCAATGGCTCACCATCCCAAATCAAGAGGACTTAGTTGCCCTTTCTGTTGAGGCAGTTCCATGTGGCCCCTGGCATATGTAGGTGGGAACCCTTCCTACAGGCACTGTGCCAAGGACTTCTTTGCGGACTCTAACCACAGAGATGAGCAAATATCTGCTCTCATCATGAAGATTAAAGTCAGAACTGACAGGGGAATAAAGGAAGATTAAAGACATAATACTTCAGGTCAGTGAGACCACCAGAGAAAAAAATAACATGTAACCAGAGAAGTGTGTGTGTGTGTGTGTGTGTGTGCGCGCGCGCGCGCGCGCATGTGTGTGCACAAGTGAGAGAGAGAGAGAAAGAGACAGAGAGAAGGGGAGGGGAGGGGAGGGGAGGGAAGGGAAGGGAAGAGAGGGAGGGGAGGGGAGGAAAAGGAGAGGATAGGAGGGGAAAACCGAGAAAGAAGAAAGGTTGGATGAGAGAGATTACAGATTCTTTGCCCACACAAGCAGTTTGAAAATCCTTAGAGAACCACAAGGCACTCTGGGATAGTAAAAGAAAACACTCACATTATAGGTGAGGTGATTAAAACCACCATATAATCGTATGGTCAGCATGAACTAACCATAATGGATATTTAATTAATCTTGAGTAATCTCATTTGTTTCTGGACCTTCAAATATTCCTTTTAGTTAGTGACACCAATAATTCAACTACCTGTCTGACAACCATACCTTTGTCCAAAAAAGAATAATTAGAGACCTGGTACCCAAGTAAAGTGCCTAAGGCTACAAACCATTGCAATAACCTAAAGGAAGCTTTGGCTATAAAAATTTAAAGGACAAATCCTACTTCCTTATACAGATAAATTTCAGAAATGACATTCTCTTTAAATTAGTAATTCCAAATTATACATATTTATTCTAAGTACATTATTAAAAGTACCTATACAATGTTCACTGAAATAATATTTATAACATCAAAAAAAGGTAGAAATAAGACAAATATAAATGAATAGATAAGTTATGGAGTATTATGCAGCCACTAAATAAAGTGGAAAAAAGTGACAGAAATGTTCATGTTATGTAAAATAATAAAAGCAGGATACTAAATCATATACATATGATCTCACTTTATGCACCTTATCTCACCTGTCAGAAACACATATGCGTACACACAAAGCAAATGCATTAAAATGGTAGATTCTTTCTCTGCTTTATGGAATAAGGGATAGATTTTATTTAGCCTTATACTTTACATGTATAATTTTTTATAACAGAAGAGATCAACTGTTATACAAGGTCCAGCAGAATAAGGCCTCCTTGAGTGTGGTTGGTAGGGTAATAATATGGGGTAATAATAATTTTATAGTTTAATTTGAACATTTCCACTAAAATGTCATATGGTGTGCTTGAAGTGATAGTGTTGTTACAGAATCACATACTTATGATTTTGTAATAAAAAGGGGCATTATTCGTGTCAGACCCTGTATTATCACAGTCCCTGGTGCTATGAAAATAACAGGGCTTTTAAAGGGCATCTTTGATCTACTTCTTGTTTCTTTTCCTCTATGGTCATTGTTACTCTTTCTACAGTGGGTTTTTTTCTGAAGAGACAGAGAAAGGGTTACATTTCTTTCTGTTTCATTTCTGTGCCCACTTTTCAAGTTATCATTCCCGATACAACCTCGGACCCATTTGTAAGTGCTCATTAATTTTCGACTACTTGATTTTCATGTATAGTAACTTTAATAATAATCAATGCTTTTGACTTAGTAATTCGACTTCTGAGAAACAGTCAAAAGAATTAGAATCAATACCTGTAATACTCATTGTAGATTGGCATAAATAAATGTCCAGCAATGGAAATTTGTCTACCTACCTATTATCAATTCATACAGAATTAAAACTAGTTTTTGAAATAACATTTAAAAATGTTTATCTTCTAATGTTACATAAAAAAATAAAGATATAAAGAAAAATATACTATGGTCACAGCTATAATAAGTACATAAAAATGAAAGTGAAACTGCAAGACTAAATGAATTGTCCATGAAATGTCTATCTTTCGTTTTCTCAAAGAAAAATAATCTTGATAAAACGAAGTATATTGCATTTTTTTGTTCTTCCATATAGTATATTACAAAGTATTATTAGTATGTCAATTGATAATAAAGTATGTTAAAAAGCAAAAAGGATAAAAGACTAAAAGAGAATGCATTTAAATAATTACAGTACTTGGCTTCAAAGAGTGCTTTTATTGTTTTTCTTCTTACTACTATATACTTTATCAAATTTTTCTCAAATGAATCTGAATCTGCCTAATTTAAAAATAGCAAATTATTTTCACAGGTATCTTTCCTTATACTTTTAAATAAAACTAAATTAATAAGATATGTGCATAAATCTATGTATATCAAATAAATATTCATTGATGATAAGTGCATCATCAATAATAAAATATACTCAATATATAGATAAATTTCCCCTTGCCATTTTAATTATGGAAGCATTTAAATGTCTGCTACATATTTCAATTTACCTAGCTGATGAAATTAAAATCCTTGCCATATTTTTATCAAAAATTTGAAATTTAAATTACATATATTTTTAGTATCCTGGAGAAATAAAAAACCCATGATGCAGAAAGAACAGAACTAAACTGTAATATAATATAAACTCATGAGGGCAGGGAATTTTCTCTGTTTTGACTACCGCCATTAACCTCAATGCATAGAACAGTAGAGCTCAATAAATGTTTATTGAAAAAAAAAATACACGTGAGAAAAGGAGAGAAGGGGAGACAAATTAGGAAATGTAACATTAACATTCGGATTGATGCTCTAAAACTAACAGGTCAGGTGTAGCTTAGGTCAGGTTATTGAGCTACCTGAATCATCATCTGTTCCTTTGACTCTAAACGGAACAGGATAAACTAAAACTAAAACTATATCTATAATTCTATATTAAGCGAACTCAAAATCATCAGATTAGATTTTCAAGGTAATAATTTGTCAGTATCTCATTGTCAGAAGGAGAAAAAGGACTTTAAAATCTAGGGCCTACCCGTTACCCTCCTCCCTCCTTAAAGAACAGGAAGGGTCAATTCAAGGAACATGTATAAAGGACCCATGGACACAGTCAAAGTGGGGAAGGACTGAGGGAGGGAGGTGGGAGTGGGTGGGGCAAAGGAAGGTGGTGGTGGGAAAATGGAGACAAATGTATTTAAACAATAAAAAAATTAATTACATACATAAATGTTACACCTGGGGGGAAAAAATCTAGGGCCTCAATTTCAAATTCCATTACAATGTTGAAAAGTAACAGAAAAGTTAACTGACTCAACCAAAGTAAAACTTATCTCCTCAATTCATCTCCCCCCTAATAAAGCTGACAGGAAAGCACAGCAAAATTAACAAATGTGGATAATTCTGCTCCCAACATCAGAACTGACATTACATAATCAGTAATACTAATTGTTTTATAGCACAGAATTTCCATTAAGTCACACAGTACATCAACTGGACATTAATCAACCATTTCAAAGTGCTTTATCCAGTTTTCTCCATCACCTAATAGTTACTCAATTCACAATCAATGCTGATGGCTCTTTTGGGAAGATGGATGTTGTGTACATCAATTAATTAATTTATCAGCCATAGTAGAGCTGGCTAATGTTCTTCTTCAAGGAATATTGTGCACATTTACACTGAGTGGTCTGCAGAAATCATAGCTTTTGGAGATATGGGATTATGCATGGAATGTCCAACAAAGAAGTACCTTTCTCTTCATCACAAAGGTTTTGTACACTTGCAGAGCTGGGAACTCCTGTTCATCTTGATGAGTGTAGAATAGCTGATGCTAGTTTTTAGGTCAGCTCCCACTGGCTGCAAGTAGTTTAGATATAAACATTTTAGAGCCTGAGAAAATTAAACTTCCCTCCAAGCCCTAAAATTAGTAGAAAAGCTCACACTCAACATGAAAGTTGTTGTTTGGTCTATTTATATTTTCTCAGGTCTCTGTATTAAGTCCTATGAAGTATTTGCCTTCTAAACCACAGAAAACAGGATTGTAAAATAGAAGCAAATGCAAAAGTTTCATAGGGTAGGAAATGAAAAATTTAAAGGCAAGATGGAGACAGTATTACACCATAATTAAAGGAGTACTACAGATTATGGCATGCTTGGGGATTATGGTCTCCTGAGGTACTGGTTTTACAGCAAGTGTTTTTAAAAATGTTAAGCACTTTATTTGGTAAGTTAATGACA